GCTACTTTCTATTATGTATTATATATTTATTTATATTTTGTTCAACATACTGTGCTCTAAATTCTATAACATGCTTAGTTGTTTGCAGCACTTTGTAATGTTCTAACAACACTCTATTGTAAGTCTACTATTAAACTTGGAATACCTGCTTTATTTTAAGTTATTGATTTTACAATTATTAAAAAATAATTTTGAGAAATGTAATATGGTTAACTGTGTTAACTCATTATATATTCCACATATTTCAATTCAGGCCAGGGGAAGATAGTCGGTTGAGTAGCTAAGGTTGATTTTTTTAGTTGACTGGTGAATATGTTCCTTTTTTATTTATTTTTGTTTAGATTTTTTACAGTCATGACATTTCTGTATTTATTGCCCCATGCATGTCTGTTGTCGGGGACTATTATAACAATAATCTATATTGTATGCTTTTATGAAAAAATAGAAAGAAAAAAAATTTTGGATGAGTAAATTTATGTATTGTAGAAAATCTAGAAGCTATGGTGTTTATTATCTAAAATATTTTTTTTTGATATTTCTATAAATAAAAGATTTTGGTTTGTTTTGTTCCACCTCTATCTAGTCATCATCTAACACGGTGTGACTTATTTTTGTAGGTCATATCGAATTAGGTTCTGACATAATGTGTGAGAGATAGTCTTATGTAAGAGATGAATTCATGAAATTTATATATGATTCTTTTGGTATATGAATTATGTATATATATGTTTTGATGTCATATGAAATGAAATGAAATTATTACTGCAATATGTTATAGATTGATGTTATTAGTGGCATGGAAGATAATTAAAAGATTAAAAAAGATAATTCTTTCAAATTAAATCAGGAAACATGACAACGATAATATTGAGCATAATTATTGATGGTCATCATTTTATCTTCTACATTGGGATTGAAAAATAATTACGGTTTCATGAACTCACGCCCTAAGAGTATTTGGTTGTCTATGTCTAATGTTCTCTCTAATTATAAGAAAATGTCATTCTCACTAAAATCATCACTAGATTGACTACACATTAGGGGTGTTAATATTTGACACAACCAAAAATTCGAAGTCAACTCGGTTTGACCTATTTTTAATTAATTTAGGATGATTTTAAAAATTTGTTATGAAATAAGTAAATGTTATTTCCACAAAATAATAAATCATATTGTCCAAACTGAATTAAACTTGATTTATTTTAAATTGAATGAAATAAATCTTACCTTAAATTGATTTAGGTTTAAATAAATCAAATTAAATATTTTTTTTTTGTAAAACATGCCTAAAGCGGGTCAGGATCGGGTTGACATGGACCTGAAGCGGGTAAGGTACAGGTCCAAAAAAATTGACCCGTTTACAAAAACGGGTGGGCTCGAATAGTACCGGTCAGTTCCGGGTTAGACCTGAAGCCGATTCGTGACCCGATTTTGACAGCCCTACTACACATTGTCTTGTAACCATAAAAAATTGATTCAAGGGGTACCTTAGCTCCTATTTTATAATAAAACCATTGCGTTCGCGTACCTTCCCTATTTGTGTCAACAGGCAACACCAATTGCCAGATATCTTAGCACTCCTTAGTTTAAAAAATATTTATGACACAAATGTTCGACAGCATTCAACTAAGGAAATTGATTTTGAGGGCCAACGGCCCAACGCTTCAGCAGCTCAGCTAAGTTTGCAACAACGCTAGCTAATCAACTATTTTTTTAAAGTATTTTTATGAATAAATCATACGGATAATAACTCTCCCATCTATCCAACTAAAACCTTTAAACTACATTAAATAGAAATGCTTAAAATACGGACAATAATGCATAAATAATATTCCCATTTAGATCGGACCGTAAATCTTCACCGAAAAAGAACAAAAACTTCTTGCTTTACACTGACTTAGGCTTTGTTTGGGACGGCTTTCTTCCTGCTTCTTAAAGCAGCTTTCTAATAGAGAAATTAAAATTTTTTACTAAAAAACTGCTTTACGAAGCAGTTAGAAAGTCATCCCAAACGAAGTCTTAATTAGACACTTATGATTTGTTTGGGACCATTCCATCTTTTTATAAATGATTTGTTTGGGATCATTACATCTTTTTATAAATTTGGCTCTCAAGTTTTCAGAAAAAACAATTTTGTTATTCTGATTGTAAAAAATAAATCTTGAGCACAATAAATTTTTAAGAAATAAAAAAAAAATAATAGTCGAATAAGATTCTGATTACTATATTAAAAGTAAAATAATAAGAAATTTGTCTCAAACAGAGCTTAAAGAACTAGCAAGATTTTTTTTTTTTTTTTTGAAAATTTTAAGTTAATTAAAACAAACTCAAAAATACATCATATATATAAGCTTCAAACTCAAAATCTCTTGGTTAATAGTCAAAGATCACGACCAACAAATCAAAATGAGTTGCAAAACAAGCAAGTTTTTTTTTTTTTTTTTTTGAGGACATTTAGGTCAATCAAGACAAATTCACACATACATCACATATGTAAAACTCGAGCTCAAAATTTCTTAGTTATTACCTATTAGCCAATACTCGTAATCAAGAGATCCAGATGAGTTACTAAAAACTAACAAGATAAGATGACCGCAAACTAATTTTGAAATAATATTTGGGTAAAAGAGAGGAGAAGAAAGCCGGGAATTTCTAATGATTAAAGTGGTTCATATAGCTCCAAAAAAATTAAAAAAAAAAATAATAAAAATATATATATATATAGCTCCAAATTGCCTTCATAACGGCTGTCCAACGCCACCCTCTCCAACGGACACCGGCAATTATCGTCTTCTAACTGTTTGGAAAAAATCAGCACGTCCCTATTAATCCGTTTCGAGATAGTTCGCCTTCTACAGTTTTGCCCCTAGCAAAATGCATTTCAGCAGACCATTAAACTTAATTAAAAGCTTTATTATTATTATTATTATTATTATTATTATTATTATTATTATTATTATTATTATTATTATTATTATTATTATTATTATTATTATTATTATTATTATTATTATTATTATTATTATTATTATTATTATTATTATTATTATTATTATTATTATTATTATTATTATTATTATTATTATTATTATTATTATTATTATTATTATTATTATTATTATTATTATTATTATTATTATTATTATTATTATTATTATTATTATTATTTTGTAATGAAAGCATTTTATCTCTCTAAAATTTTATCTCGATAGCTCGGTTGAATGATAATTGTTGTGTCGTGGAATATTCACGGTGGTAAAGAAATATAAAGTTTAACGTTTTATCTTTGTACAAAGATCTAGTACGCATACATATAAAAAAGAGGGCGTTGTATTTATAAGAGACATCAAGATTTTTATATAGAATTAAAATCCTGATAAAAAAAAACCATGGGGCATAGCTAGATTTGAAAGAATCCACTAGTATTTGTAATTAATTACAAATGTGGCCCTCCATTAATTAGAGGGAAGACCTTGGCTTGATGTAACAACTATACATCATATAGAATGTATTACACGATAGAAATTGGAAGAATCAGTATTGATATGTTAATTTGGCCGGCAGGATCATAGGCGGCGGGCGACGGAGGTTAGAAAGATTGTATCCGGGTGACGACGGTCGGAAAAAACGTAGTTAGCTGGTGACAGAGGTAAAAAGGACCGTTGTCTGACGGGCGATATATATAGGTCGGAAAGACTGTAGTCGTCATGAGGTGACAGCGGTTGTAAAGACTGTTATCAGACGACAAAGGTCGGAAGGACCGTTGTGAGGTGGAAGTCCAAGAAAAATTGGAAGCCAGGTGGAAGTCTGGCGTCAATTGGCACCTGAGTGGATGTCCAGTGTTAGTTGGTGCCCGGGCAAAAATTCAGTGTCAGCTGTTGGCCAGGCTGAAATCCAGCATCAGTCGGTGGTTGGGCAAATCCGACGTCAGTCGGTGGCCGGGTCGAAATCCGTCATCATTTGGTGGCCGGGAAGAAATCTAGCTACAGTTGGTAACCGAGCAAAAATCCAACGTCAATCGGTAGTCGGGTAAAAGTCCAGCGATAGTCGGTGGCCAAGCTGAAATCCGGTGGTGGTCGAGGAGTCTGGTGGCAAGAGAACTCTTCCTTCTTTTCTTGCTTTGGTTTATTTATAATTTTCTGAGAGTAGCATGACCAATAAATAAGAGGAAGATCAATGATAAATTGGGAGTGGTTTGAATGGACGGCCGATATTGATTTTCTTAATCATGGTTCATTTATTGGACATTTGAATGTCTCAAGGATATCAAAATTTTGTGATCTTGGGCTTGTTGGATTTGTCTCGTCGAGCCGCTCAATTCGACTATAAGCACGTCACGTTTGGAAACTGTTTGATTACTAACTTGGAGAGAACTTACAAGCCTTGGACGATGATAATCAAGGGTTCGTGTGGCTGCTTATTTGACCTGAATATCTATCACTTGACTTATATCTGAGTCCAGGCAATTTTCTAATTCAAAGTTTATCTCTGATTTTGATCCTTCTATCATCTGATAGGAGTGCTTTTTAGCTCCTGGTAAGCTAGCTCCATTTTTCGGTTTGAGTTTTGCAGCTCCTTTTACTTAGTATTAAATTTTTCATAGAACAATGAAATGGTTCGCCCAAATTTTACCCAAAAAAAAAAAAAACGCTAATTGACACACATGGTTAAAAAAGCCATAGTCCCCCAATCATTTTTTTTTTTGGACATTTAGGTCAATTAAGGCAAACTCACACACACAACGCATACACATGAACTCAAACCTTGAACCTCTTAGTTGGAAGCCTAAGCTCTCAACCAATAGGCCAAGGGGAGTTGTGTCATAGTCCCAATCATGCGAGATGATATATAAAATTCCAGTTTGGTCCGATGCCGTACGGCACGTTTTTCACGTGATAGATCAGCATAATAAAGATATTTTTCAAAAAAAAAAAAAAGCATAATAAAGATTAAAATTAGAAGAAGCAAAGCGCACACCACTATATATATATCGCTTCCCGCCCACGTCCTATAAGCAGCCAAGGCGGGCTCCATAGTTACCGCTCAAGAACACGATGGATAAACACCCCTCCTTCCTCCTCCTCTTCTTCCTTATCCTCTCCCAAGCAGCTTTCCCAACAGCAGTCACCGATCTCCGTTCCGCCTACATCATCCACGTCTCCCCTTCCCTCCAACCGTCAACCTCCCCGACACCATTCCACTGGTACTCTTCCACCCTCCGCTCCCTCCCCCGCCACCTACGGCACCCAATTGGCCGCATCATCTACACCTACGATCGTGTTATCGTCGGATTCGCTGCCATTCTTACAGATCCCCAAGCTGCCGCTCTTCGCCTCATCCCTCACATTCTCGCCGTCATCCCTGACAGCCCCAGCTTCCCCCACATCACACACACACCCTCCTTCCTCCACCTCTCCCCTTCCTCTGGCCTCTGGCCCCAATCCTCCTTCGCCTCCTCAATCGTCATCGCCGTCCTAGACACTGGCATCTACCCCTACTCCAGCTCTTTCATTGACCCCGACCTCTCCGATCCTCCTACCACCTTCCACACCTCTTGCGACTTCCACAACTCCTCCGCCTGCAGCAACAAGCTCGTCGGCGCTAAGTTCTACTACAAGGGTTACGAGGCCTACCTCCGCCATCCCATTGATGAGACGCTGGAATCCAAATCACCATTGGATACTAAGGGCCATGGCACACACACCGCCTCCACCGCAGCTGGCGCTGTCGTCTCCGGAGCTAGCTTCCTCGGCTACGCCGAGGGCGAAGCCCGAGGTATCGCCACTAAAGCCCGCATCGCCGTCTACAAGATATGCTGGGCCGGAGGCTGCTTTCAATCTGATATCCTCGCTGCAATGGACGACGCCGTTTCAGACGGCGCCAACGTCATCTCCTTCTCCGTCGGCTCGAAGGGCTACCCCAAAGATTACTTCCGTGACACCATCGCCATCGGTGCGTTTGGCGCCGCCCTCCATGGCGTAATCGTCTCCTGCTCCGCAGGGAACTCGGGCCCTGGTGATTACACCGTCGGTAACGTTGCCCCATGGATTATAACGGTAGGGGCTTCCACCGTTGACCGTAATTTTCCTGCTGATGTTGTCCTCGGCGATGGGAGCATTTACAATGGCGTTTCCCTTTATGCTGGATCCGACAATATCACAACTGCCAACCTCCCTTTGGTCTACGGCGGTGATGCTGGTTCCGCCCAATGCGTCTCCGGACTTCTCGATTCCTCAATTGTCGCCGACAAGATCGTTCTCTGCGACCGCGGTAAGAACGGCCGAATTGAGAAGGGAAGAGTCGTAAAGCTCGCAGGCGGAGCCGGCATGATTGTTGCGAACACAGAAGAGAATGGAGAAGATTTGACCGCTGACCCGCATCTGATTCCAGCAACCATGGTCGGGGCATCCGCGGGCAACAAGATCCGAGCATACATCAGATCGGACTCCTCGCCCACTGCTACCATTGTCTTCCATGGGACCTTCATTGGTGGGGACCCACCGGCACCAAAGGTGGCATCTTTCTCCAGTCGGGGACCTAACTATCGGACCCCGGAGATCCTGAAACCAGATGTGATCGCCCCCGGCGTCAACATCCTCGCCGCATGGACTAGAGCTGCGAGCCCGACAAACCTCGATGATATTGATTCGAGGAGGGTCGATTTCAACATCATCTCCGGCACTTCAATGGCTTGCCCTCATGTCAGCGGCATCGCTGCACTTCTACGCGGTGTCTATCCAGACTGGAGCACAGCTGCCATCAAGTCTGCTATCATGACCACCGCCTACAACCTCGACGACACCGGCGGGGACTTTAACGATCTCGCCACAGGCAAGAAGTCAAACCCTTTCATTCACGGGGCGGGTCATGTGGACCCCAACAAGGCTCTCGACCCAGGCTTGGTTTATGATGCCGGCATTGATGACTATCTCGCCTTCCTCTGTTCTATTCATTACAGTAAAGCACAGATTTCGCTCTTTACTAGGGATGGTAGCAGCGTGGACTGCTCATCAAAAACATTGGCAAATCCCGGAGATTTAAACTATCCGTCATTCTCCGTTATCTTCTCTAGTTTGCACGACGTGGTTACTTATAAAAGAACCGTTAAGAACGTTGGTGGTTTGGGATGCGGAGATTTGGGCTGCAGAGTGTATAATGTAGAGATCTCGAGCCCGCCGGAAGTTGATGTAAAGGTTTCACCAAGCAAGCTGGTGTTCGATTCTGTAAACCAGAGTTTATCCTATGAGATCACATTTGCTTCCATTAAAAGCACTGCGACTTCTCGACAGTTTGGATGGATTTCTTGGAGTGATGGAGTTCATAAGGTGAGGAGCCCCATTGCCGTTATTTGGCAGCAGCAGCACAGCCAGGTTTCCACCATGTAAGCGTCAGAGCTAGCTGATTTCTCTTGTTTCCATTTTTGGAGATGGGAGAACAGATCATCGATATGTTTTGTTGCTATGTATTGTCTTTAATACTACTTTAAGGGAGCTAGTGCTCTTCCAGTTATTAATTGAGGAGCTATATACCTCATTTATGTAATATGAATAAATTGGGCATGTCGCCCATGGAAGAACCAAACCTGAGAAGGAGAGAGACGAGCTGTAGCAGTTTATTGGTTGAGCACCTAGATCGACGTATATATTGTGTGTATCTGTATTATATTTGATGTATATTATGTTTTGATAATGTATTTTATTTTGTTTGGATATTAGCACTGAAATGGGGCTTTATGGTAGAAGAAACTCATTTGAATGGCCACAAAAATAAGATGTAGAAATGAAGAAATTATGCACTTACTTGAGAGTAGATCAAGGAAATCAAAAGAAATCCCCATTCGTTATCGCTTCGTTTCACTCGAGAGTTTTTTTTTTCGAAGTAGTCAAGAGGTACTTTGAAGATAAGTTTATTATGTTAAGTTTTTTATTTTATCCTTGACTATTTAATTAATTTTTATAATTTAGATTTTGTATGAGAATTTTTTTATTATTATTTTCTAAAACATTTTCTTACCGGAGAAATTTTTAATTTAAAAAAATTTGATGCTAAAATATTGCTTTAAGAAACAGTAAAAAAATAATTTGGAAGAACTACTTTTACCCAGGAGAATGGCTTCTGTTAATTTTAGGTGATGAGGTGTGTAGAATTTGGGTTATAAGTTTGATAGAATGAAGGTGAACTTGATCTAACATTTAAAATTGATGCATTGGCCCATCAACCAGTAGAAGCATTGTAGCTCAGTATAACCAAAGTTTCTAGTAAATTCTTCCCTATAAATGACAATGAATGAAATATCAAGTGGTTGCCATTGTAAACCATAGAGCTCTCTGTTTACTTGCCATCACCAATGAAGGAAGGATGAGTAAGATGTGCTTGATTATTTTTCAAAACACAAAATCAGAATACTTTTTAAAACGCAATTTTCTAAGGCCTCGTTTGATTGTCCGTAATTTTATCCGTTTCTGATTTCAATCGGTGTAAAATTACTTTTTTGATGTTTGTTTAGGCCACTTTTTTAATACTCTTTTTAGTATACCTCCAAATTTTCGCAGATTTGAGAAGGAAAAAAAAATCTACTTCTCCGTTGTAATACCTCCATTTCACAATGAAAAAACATTGCGAAGCCTAAAACTCATTGCAAGGCTGTGGTGAAATATCTTTATATTAAATTATTACTTTTGTAAAGTTTGAACCATTGTTAAGTGGTTAATTAAAAATCATTAAACTCAGATTTGCTTTTAAAAGAAACATTAGCTGATATGCTTGAACCAGTATGATACCTATGATGGCATTAAAACTAGTTTGATATTTATGTCGTCACAGAATGTCTCCGAATTCCGCCAGTGAAACTTCAAATCAGCACATTATGCATTTATGCATGAGCCTGCGAAACTTTTTTTTTTTTTCTTTAAGCTCAAAGTTCATATGTCGAAACAAGTACCAATTTTTTTTTTTAAGACATTTAGGTCAATTAAGACAAACTCATACACATCACATAAACAAACATAAACCCAAAACTTCTTGATTTATAGCATCAAACCACAAAGATAATAAAGACAACTAGCATGTCAGTCCTGTAATTTTGTATTATTGTATATGTTATTACTACTCTCTCTCTTGTCTATATATGCCGTGTACTACTCTATGCAAGATAATCTTTTCTTACTCATTCTCTCTCTATCCTTCATCTTGTCTTCTCTGTTATCAAGATCTTGTTTCTACATGGTATCAAAGCAGCTGAAGACTTGATGGCGAAATCGGAGACGTCACCCTGGAGAACACAGGACATTGTCGCTCCCGAAAACCTCTCCATACTGTCCTCCCTGAAGTTCGTCGTGGCAAATCTCAAGAACATCCATACGCAACTCTCCGCAGATAATTACTCCATTTGGCGCTCTCAGATCACCAAGCTTCTCCGGGCGAATGGATTTGAGAGCTTTCTTGATTCCAAGCTCTCAAACAATCAAACAACAGAACAAGATGAGGTGTGTATCAAGCACGAACTGGATACCATACAAATTTGTAGTTGTTTATGTCTATGCTCCATTCTCTCAACAGAACATGAAAGAATTCTTTTTCTTGTCTGTTTTTCTTTTTTCTTTGTTGTAAATGGTATACCTGCTCCTTCATATCCTCTTAACTGACCTAAGAAGCAACTTGTCCTTTTTCTCGTTGGAATTGGCATCAATTTGCTTGCAGCCACTTAAGATGGCTGCAGCTCCTTGTAGTGAACTGATGTAAGCAGAAGTTTTGGGAAAAAAAAATATTTTAATTAATCTAATTCATACAAAATAAAAAAAGCTACAACTCCCATCAATAAGGGCTAAAGGGTGACCGGCAACGGTGTTTCAGTTGATTAAAATCTTTATTGACACTAGTGCCTCATAAAAAAAAACCTCCTCTTCCTGACATACGTTATTCAAGAGTTTACTATACATTCATCAATCCTTCCACAGCTTTTTTTTTTTTTTAACCCTTCCACAGCTTAAATTGGCTGATGGAACAATAATAACAACAACAAAGAAAGCCAAGATAATGAATCAATTAATACAATGAGTGCACACATGGTGGGCAATTGAGCAATGGAAAGAACCTGGTGCAGAACATAATTGAATGCAGTTTTTCCATTTCTGCCCGCCTTAAGCTCTTTCCCTTTTTGTTTTTGAGTTGTGGAGGCTCAAATATATATAACATCTGATTGTAAAATAAGCAAGAACTGACCGTTTACCTACTGGCCCTCAACCATCAATGAAACTAGTTCATGCTCTTGTTGTTGACCTTTAAGCGTCTGGGGAAACAAACTTTTCACCTTCTCAGGTAAGTACCTGAAATGATGTAATTATTACTTTAATGGAGGATTGATCACTCTATTTTGTAGCTTCTCAAAAATAGCGATTTGCTAAAGTTTAGAAGAGAAGAATAATCGAGGGTTGATCTAATGTCCAAATTAAGCTTACAAATCCAATCTTTCTGTAATTGCCCGGCGCACTGATGAGTTAAGTCCATACGCAATAGAATTGAACAAACCCTACCAAAAACAAAATAATGAACATAAGTAGGTCACAAAATATTTAAAAAAAAACAAAGTAGGTGATAAAATAAACAAGGCAAGCTCATGAAAATTGTTACTAATAAAGAACTCAAAATTTGATAAAATCGTAAAACTAATTAGTAATTTGTATGTATATTTTGCCATTTTAGTTTGATAACACCGTATGCTAGTTTACCAAAACTAAAATGGTCATCCACCAAAAGGAAGATCACTAGAATTAACTATTTTAGAAAGGCTATGCAAAAACTAAGGGAGCGAGAATAAAAACGTACAATTGACATTGTTAAAAAAATTGACTATTTAAAGATAACAGTAAGAAGGTCTAAAGAATTTCAACAATTGCAGTTTAGAGGCATTTCTCTTTACTGAGCAACATCATAGTTTTGGCCTTGCTGGTATATTAAAAAAGCAATATTAGGAGAAGATCATATTCTATAAATAGGTATATTCTCATCATTATTATTATTCTTTTTTGTATTTTCCATATATGCCTATTTATAGGTAGGGCTGTAACCAAGCATAATGGAGCCAAGAAAATCATGTATTGGACAAGTTTTTCAAATTCGGTTTGAGCTCAAGTTGGAGTTTTCACATATGTTCTCAATTGACTTATTAAGACTTTTCTATAATCAAGCTTGGCTTGTACTCGGCTTACCAAATTTCATCGAACAATTACTTAAACAAGCTCAATAATCAAATGATTACTTAAATTTTTATATTAACAAATAATTTTACACGATGAAAAGTGAGTAGAATGATCGAGGGGCCCTTAATACGCTAACAAATGGATTTCCAAAATATGATTCTGAAGTTTCAGTGGGCTTGATAAACAAATATGATGATACCAAAAACAAAGGAATAGAGGGGGATATTGATGTCTTACCAACTAACAATTACTAAGAAAGCCACAGACTCAAAAGAAGAGTCTTGAGTATTGTCTAGAGCATGAGAATATTCCAAAAGATCCAAGGCTGATGGAGCATCTTCAAGGAAGTTGGAATGAGTAATTTGATCATTAGCATTTATCACATATAACTCATATGTTCACACCATTATCAAAAGAGTTATCCTTAATAATTGGGATCCTAGAAAAGGATTTTCTCAATTCCATATGAGCCTTTAAGTAATCAGCAAAAACATGACAAATATTACAACACTGACAAAAAGTGAGCAAACCCGCAAATTCTAAATTTCGCTAATAACGTGAAAATGTGAGTCTGTGACAATCCAAATCTCCCTAGCCAAAGAGGAAAAACATCTATGTCAATAAAAATGCATGCAGGATATCATTGATATAGTATGGCAGTAGTAAGTTCCCCTTATATTGGTTTCTTAAGAATTGATCATAGTGAGAAATGTGTAGATTGATTAATGCAATGGACACAAGTGCGAGAAAAAAAAAAACATGCAAGTTTAATAGAAGACTTATCAGAAGTATTAAAGTATGGAGACCACTTAAACAAACGCATCAGTAGACTATTCACATAAAACATCTTTAATGATATATGTTTAATGATAGTTCAATAAGCATGTTGCAATAATTAAGAAGCCTACTAGAGAACTAACCAATCAAACATATGATAGGAAACACTTGGATTTCCAAGTGTTTCTCACCAAAATCAAATAGATCAAAGATGAAAACTGCTGTCCACAGCAGTAAAACAGCCAAAAACAGTAGAAAACAGGGGAAATCTGAGAGAAAAATGAAGAAACAACTTGTATTTTACTAGTAGACGCAAGGAAAATAGCAAAGATACAAGGATCCTCTATTCAAGAGGAGGATCGCACTCTCCCAATCTCTAGATTTCGACCTAGAGCCCTCACTATCCAAGAAGACAAAAGAAATTCTCACCAAAACATGACATAACCCTCATTCCTCTCTTTCTCCCTACTTAATGCATTCTAATTCAAAACAAAAGCAAAAGGACCTCTCTATCCTTCCTTCTCCCTCCAAAAATACTTCAATTTTGTTTGAATTCCAAGTGGACCCGCAACTTTTTGTCGCCTGGAGAAGACTCGGACCGGCCAAGCCGGTCCAGGTTGGGCCGGTCCAGGTTGGACCGGCCTAACAACATAAAGGTCTGAATGAACTCGAATGGCCATAGGAAAGTTTATTAACCAAGGTCTAAGAAAATTTCGCTAAAATAAAAAATTCATATTCATAAAAATTGATAGTGAATTAACCATGAAAGGTAGTGGATAGCTTGTGTCTTGCGAATTACAAGCCATGTTGAAAGAAAAAATTAAAATCAGAAATTGGCAGATGGATCCGGCTACAAAGAACCTCCCCCGAAACAACATCAATGAAAAAAGTGGGAGTAATGGGTTGGAAGGCAAAAGCATATGCGTCTTGATTTTGCCAAATTATAGAAACTAGTGGACAATCGACATTTGTGGAGCCCATCAAGGGATAGTTGGATGAGATGTGCTGGTAAAGACAAAGCATGATGCGAAGCCACAACCCCGGCTCCTAGAAGCACTAAGGGGGTGAGAACAAGTCCTACAAAGTGAAATTGAAGTAGGGCTCCACATAAGCAGGCAGAGAAGGGCCTCCATTGAAGACATCAACAAGATAGAAAGGATTTTCATCAAGAGAAAACTCAGTCGAGTGTGGGATACAAGGGAACCTAGATGCATAATGCATAGGCACAACAAGCTGCACACAGTGACATGTGGGTGCGGCAAGAGGGAGCATACCAACAAGTGATGAAAGTTCATAACATGGGCGAGCACGAAAATACAACTAAGCGTGGGCAAGTGTCAGATCTCAAGCAAGCATGGGTTGGTGAGGTATGCCTATAAGGGGACAATTGCAATTGAGGAAATGCCTGCAAGGTGACACCTGAGCATGAGAAACAAGTAGGAAAATGCAAACTTAGGATAAGATGCACAAAAAAATACACAAAAGATAAAAATTAGCAATTGCTCAACCTTTAAATTAGGTGAAAGATTAGTCTCTTCTGATGCAAAACTAGAAAATACCATTACTTCGTTCTAAACAAGAATATTAAAGTCCCAACAATCTGAAATTTCATAAATAAAAAAATGAATATAAAATTCCATACAAATAAGATTCACACCATAAAGATGAAAATCAATTAGTAACAAACGTCACCAAATTTCAATTACATATACTAAGAACAAACTGATTTAGATGAAAGAACAAGGATAAAATTCACCATTTTTTAAGCTCACGCCATACACAAGTCCAAGGAGAAAAATCTCTTATAATTTATCATCAAAACTTACAACATCCTCAAAAAATTCAAGTCCAACATCACATAATCAGTAATTCATTATAATATTAACAAATTGAAGATCTAAACCTTATGCTAAGGAGAAAAATCCCCCAAAATTAACATCAAGACTTGCAATGTGCTCGAAGAATTTTGCATCTAATAGCACAGAAAAAATTGAGAGGGAATAAAAATTATTCAATAATCAATTATAATATTAAGTGCCTCAAGAGTAATATTTCTAACTCAAAAAGATCCAAGATCAGAAACTTCGCATTATCCTTCAAGATTTGGCCTAAAATTATAATTTTCAATTGACCAATCACATTTCCAACAAAAATGAAACTTTCAATTCCAAGATCAGCAAGAAACATTCCCTAGTGCGGTATCAATCTGAATATAAAGAAACCAATAGTCAAAAATTGCCAGAGAAGGAAAGCTGCAAATAGTCAACCATCCCTAATTGCAACAGGGCCATCAACGACAATAAATGAACCCTATAAAGAAAGCCAAAAACAACACTAATACTCATTTTGCATTAAGGAAAAATAGAACCAATCTAATAGAAAGCCACTAAAACAACCGATCATAGGCTACAATTAGAAAATTACAATAAATTAAATACCAAACCTAAGCTGAAGTGCTGAATCTGGAATGATAACAGGTTAGCAACACTAAACAATAACAATACACTTCCAAATCAGAAGTTGAATAAGTAGAGGAAATCAAAAGTGATGAAAATTCTATTTATTCCTTCTTACATTGCAATTGTTATATTTCTACGAATAACTTTTAAGAGCGGAGTGTATGCATCCCCACTAGTAGCAATAGTTCTTATTCTTAGCAAGCTCTAGCTATATTAAAAGCTAATAAGTATTGATGATCCTCTAGAGGGTCAAATATGGCCCACATAATCCATTACAGCGCATTCTTAAGAAAAGTGTCATCTTTTGACTATCTTCTATTACTAAAGAACGAACAACTTAAAAGGGTTTCATTTTCACCAAGATAGAAACCACATAATAAACTCAATAATGAAATACAAAAGCTTTATATGAATAGCTAAAATCACTCCACATTAAGAAAATCACAAAACTGATTCAAGCCTAAAGTTAGAAAACAGAAAGTTAAAGGCTGAGAAGAACTTACCATGAGTCCAGCAAACCAAACATCAGCAAGTGAGAGCCAAAAGATCTTATGCTCGGGATAAACAAAATCAAATATACGGTTAATTGTTGCAAATGTCCAAGACCCTATCAAAATTAAAGGATAGTAGCCCCACTTATTCACTGCCTGAAAAAAGGAGAAATATCAACATAAATAATAATTTGTTGTTAGCAATATAGATCATGAAAGTATAAAAGCACGTACAGTTAACCTGGCTGTGTCAACTATGAAATATGCACAATTGACAATCTCAAATATTTTAACCACAGATTTTTCCAAATACAACATATAACGAAAATCATTACCAATAAGAAGAGAGTTTAAAAGCAATTTATTGACAAAAATAAGCTAAATTAAGAATATCTGGCAAATAAACTAGTAACATAAAATATAAACACAAAGTACCTTTCTTCCTGCCCCGGAATCAAGTCGGTAAGAGCTATCTGAAATTCCAACAGCCATCTTAAAAGGGATCATTTGAAGAACACATTGGCAGCATAATAACCTCTGGTTAGTTATTTGAATGAGCAAGGAAACGCAATAACATCCTATCCATCAAAATTCTACCAACTGCTCTAGAGTTTAGTAACATACTCTAGTTGCATTGCTCAGCATGCGATTCACTTGGTAGTATGTAAGCCCGTTGTAAAGAATAGCACCCCACAAAGGAGTATAAAATGTTATTAAATGTACAACCTGTAAAAAAAAGAGCAGCATGATATGTACATGGTCACAATGAAGGATAGCTCGAGGAAAAAGGGGAAATACAAAGAGAGAGACTAAATAAGCAAACATTAGCATTATTTCTATTTTTATGGTCTGAAAATATTGGAAAATGGACTAAGACTGCAACAAGTGAACTAAAAACTAGATTGCTACCATTATAGGTGATACTCTTTGTTTTCCACACTAATATAGCATTACTCCATATTTTCCACACTAACATAGCATTATGGTATTTGATACCATATATGAGCTATTGAGTTTACAAACACCAAAATTTTTAGAAATAAATAACCCTCGACCTTCCAAATAAAAAATAACAATCTTCACATTCCTCCAAGAATTAAGAGAATAGATTTAATTGCCACATGGCAATTTTTGACAGGGGCCTTAACATTGTTATTTTCTTGTAGTAAGCTTAGTTTTAAAAGGGCCTTCAAATAAATTTAAAAATAGCCAAGTTTGGCCACATTCCATCTTATCAACAAAACAATGCCAGCATCCTTCTAATAAATAAATATTTGCTAAGTATATGTAGGACCAAACCAAAAATTAGCAGTAGCACCTTTGCATGACTAATTGTAAATTAAAATCTTCGGACAAAAGGAAAAAAATAAAACTTTTAACAATGATTTTTTAGGGTTTGCTCGAGGGGCATGCAGGCCAAGATGCTTCTCTCAAGGATCTCAATTTGCATGAGGTAGTCAACTCACAAAGCATGATACAAGAAGCAAACAAAAAATTGTTTCAATTAATTAAAGTGTACGTACCATGTAGGATATTTTTCTTCTTGTACAATTGAACATCTCAAATAATTATAAATCTTTTTTTATATTCTTTAAAAGCTCCCATTTAATCCTAGAACAATATTTTACTCTGTTTTTTATATTATTGATGTGGTCAAATATTTATGTATTTTTTATGCCTTTTGGTTGATTATGTATTATAATGTTTATTTTGGTTACTCTATGAGGGAAGACAACTGATGAACATACTAAGTTGATGCTCTTAGGATTGTCTCTCCCTTTCCTTCACTTTGTGTCTTTCGGTTTTCCCCTTGGCAGTTGTCCCTTCAGTTTTTGTGTTCATAGGTTATTGTGTTGATGCTTTGGTTTCCCCCTTGGCAGCTTTCCCTTCGATTTCTGTGTTCATTGGCTGTTGTGTTGATGCTTCGGTTTCCCCTAGGCAGTTGTCCCTTCGATTTTGCTGCAGTTTTGAGGTGTTCCTAGTGGTTGGATGAGAGGTGTTTTATCTTTCTGCATTAATTGCTCTTTACCATATAAAGAGGGGTTGTTTTCCTGCGGTTTGGGGACTTTTTAGTGAAGTGTTTGCATACAAACCTGCAGGTTCTTCTAGCTTGCGAGCTAGCCTCCTTTCCCCTTTCTCTCTACTACTTCGTCTCGATTTTCTACCTCTTCTTTTCTTTCCACGGTTCTCGGCCCATTTGTATCCTTCTTCTCTTGTGAGCTTAGTGATCATTGCTGCCATGTTTTGGTTAGTATTCGCTGGAAGGGGTGGACTTGTGCCGGATCATTCCAGTGGTGGATTTCGGGTTAGATCTTTCTTTTGAGAACCTATCCTAATTTTTTTTAACTTTGCATGTGAGGTGATCAATTGTTGGTTGTTCTGAGGATAGCCTTATTTACATTTTCCTATGTATTTTTCCCAACATATTTCACAACCTTTTTAAAACTTGTTTCTACTTTTATATATTTTTAAACATGTGGATGTTTATGCTTTATTCAAAGGAAGAATTTTCTAATTGCTTTCCTAAGTGTTCTCCATAAAATATTTAGAAACTTAGGTTGCATCAATTCTACACCTTCATCTTAACGTCAAAAACTAATAAGCGATGTTGGGTACATAAACTTTCACTCGGAATAACTTTACAATCTAAACGATCTCTTTTTCTTATAAGAAAATAATCAATGTGAGTTTTACTATATTCATTCTTTTAAGTTATTAGACATTCATCTCTTTTCTTAAATAGAGGTATTATATAGAAAAATATAATATGGTCTTACCACCTTCTTTAGTCACTCCAAACTCACTCATAGCCATTATGAATGCTTTTAAAATCATCTACCTTTCTACCAACATGTCCATTTGAATCTCCTTCAATAAATTTTTTTTTCTTTAACTAGTATCTTTTGTGTTAATTCTTCAAAGTCTTTCCAACATTTTATTTTTGTACTTGAGAAGCATAACCACTTATAATATTAATAATCAAATCATCAATAATAATCTTTACGGCTATAATTTTATCTCCAATTCTATTAATTTCTATAACATTATCCTTCAAACTCTTATCTATAATTACACCTATACCATTTTTAATACGATCCTTATCATAATACAATAATTTAAATCCTAAACTATCAATCTCATTAGCATTCTTGCCAACCCATTTAGTTTCCAAAATGCAAAGAATATTTATCTTCCTATGAATCATAATATCCATTAATTTGCCTGTAAGGTAACCTATATTCCAAGATCCTATCCTAAATTTAGTTTCATGAACTAGCTACTTTGCCCACATCCATCCATGATGTGGGAACTCATGTTTATTTAACACTGCACTCAGGAGCGGTGAAGCGACCCTTGCATACTTCTCACTGTATTCAAGTCATACAGCGGGTCTCTTCTAGGGAATGCCCTAGCATTAACACAATATATTAAAGGATTCATGTCATGATTAATTTGAAAAATTACGCTGGCTGTCCACTGCCTAACGCAACCCTCCATTTTTCTCATACAGGATTTTGGACCAAGCAACGATAGTGTTTAATTTAGAACTCAATGTTAAATTTAAAAATATATATATTAAATCAACTAAAATAGAAAGTGTATAATAATGGATTACTGGATATAGCCCACATCATAAATATTTAATAATTAAAATGAATAAAAAAGGCCTGAAAAAGTGTACCATAAGAATGAAATTGAGTAGATAAAGTGTTGAAAATAGAAATCTAAATAAAAATTCAAAAATCCAATGGCTAAAAGTAAAAGAAGGAAGATTTAAATATATAAATTAAAGTGAATAAAGAAACCACAATTCAAAATCAAGAGTTGCAAGTGAATGTGGTCTTCTGCGCTCTTGATAATTGTGACGGATCATGATAAGGACATCTAGTGGTCATGGAGAATTTATCAAAGGAAGAGTCGGAGATCTACGACTAGGATCGGATTACTCTATTTCTAAGCATTTATTTGTATTTGATTTATTATGTGTAATTTTTCATTTTTACCCTCATTTGAAGGAGTAGGTTTATGTAACCATAGGGGGCACTTTTGTTATTTGATGTTTTCTTGTATTTTGTCTATTTATAGGCCTCACCACTTCCTTGGGAGGAGGAGGATTATTATGAATGAAAATTTATGCACTTTGTGTCTAGGTGTGTTTGAGAGCCTTGAGAGTTCTTGTGAGAGCTTATATGAAGTCCCTAGGTGAGGGAAAAGCAACTCCACTTACACCCAAAATCAGCCCCCTTATATGAAGTCCCTAGGCGAGGGTAAACTCCCCCCCCCTGCACCCCCACCCTTGATATCTTTTTGATCCCTCATCAATCAGTGTCCATCATTTTATTGTAAAAGCTTATCTGCATAGCCCACACCAAGAGCATTATGCGAATGGGTCTTTGTAGTGACTAATCTATTTGTTACTTAGAGATTGTCTCTGAAACACCACGTGAGCATATTATTAATTAATCTGTTATTTAATGGTTCTCCCATTAGAATGTGATTGTTTTCGTAAACTTGATTTCCCCCTTGCATGCGGAAGTTAGTGCTTAAGTTTGTTAAGCTCTGTTCAAGCATGCGTAATTTCCAAATCAACATCACTTATATATATAGTTCTACATCAGATCATATGCATATTACATCACCTGCTATTCACGTGAGGCTACGACCTAATAATAGAGGCTTTGTGTATAGTGTGGAATCTAAGTCTATAAGGTGTCTATGTCTACAATAAGAAGGAGAAGAGTAATGAGTTGAGCAAGAGGGGGCAAGATGAATCAGAGAGCTTGTGTATAGTGGGATCAAATGTTGAAGCTCTCGGTAGTCCAGGCAATGAAGCAAAGAAGACTCAATTTACATGTATTGAAATGTTCCTTGGCTTGCATATTAAGGCGGATGCAAAGCTTTGCATACACAGAAAATTTAATTTTTTTGTTGCAAATAATTCTAGGTTAGGAGGAAACAATTATATTAGGATTGCACTAGTTAACTAATTTGGTGAAAGAACTTTATGAAGTAGATAGAGGGAATTTAGGAGACGATGTGGAGCAAGAAAAGGGGGGAAGGTGAGCAGGTAGAGAGATTTAAAGTTAAAAAAAAAAGGGGGGGCAGATTGAGCGAGAAGATTGCAAGAAAACTTGGATTTTATTAATCTTTCTTCTCAGCAAGAGAGAGAAAGACTCAAGATGAAAGAAAACTACAAGGCCTAAAATACCAGGAAATTGATCAAACAAGTGCAAAACAATAAGAAATTGATAAAAAATGTGAGCAGAATAGTAAGAAATATAGCTCAAAGAACAAATCCGTAAGGATGGGCAGTGAAATCGAAATATCATTAGGAAATTGAAAGAAAACAAATGTAAATAGATACTAATGATGAATTCTCATGCAAATGGTTAATCCCCAAGCTGTGGATGTTGAATCCAAAAAGTATATAAATTACTGTATCCTCGTAATAGAAAACTATGAAGCCAAAATATGAGCTACAACAAATATTCATTAACCCTACATAGCATTATTTATAATTAGTACGGGGTTATTTAACAAAATATCTTGATGACTCAACATCCAAACTACCCTTAAGGCATATTAATAGATAATCATCATAAAAATTTAAAAAAAAAAAAATCTTATCTATCAAAGATCATCAATGATATGGCACATGACAGACTTCTTCAAACTGACACGGCAAATATCATTTTATGTTTTTTAAATTTTTATCATTGTTTCTA